ACAACTTTAGGCTTTTAATTTATTCCATTTCCTTTTATTAACTAGTCTTTAGACTAACTTTCACATTGTCATTTATAGATGTAGAATATTGAGTATTTCTAAAACTAAAATATTTTTTTTCTTGTCTTTCCTTACAGAAGGAATGTGTTTGGACCATTACATCCAGTCATCAGAAGCAGAGCTGTGGGACGTGTGGACAGACATTGACTGTAATGATGGACGTCTGCTGATGGACAGGTAATGTAAATGCTTGTTTTACTGTACTAAACATGTAGGTTCCCATCATTTTCTTTTTGAAGGGCCTCCCCCTTTGAAAAGCAAATGATGGGAACCTAAGAGGGTGGGGAAGGGACGAGGAGGCGAAATTTTTATAAAAAAAAAAATATTTTTTTTCCTTGTTCCAAAAAGCATAACCCCTGCTGCTGACTGTCCCGGAAGCTCCGGGGGAGACCGTACTGGTATCCCCCTCCTTTGGGCGCGCCACTCACACACTCACACAACATCCACTCCTATCGCGGAGATCTGGCTGGGATCAAACCAGCAACCTCTGAACCCGTGAGGCAGCGCTCTTACCTGTGAGCCACAGATCTCTTGCTGATGATGTGCTGGAACTTATATTTCACTGTTATCCTGAGAGTTTCCAATAAAGCAGTTAAAGTGAGATTCGAACCCACGTCTTCATCAGTCTTGACCTCAGAGAGTGTGTGTTTATCCGCTCGCCCATCATGGATTTCACATTTATGGCAGTTTTTTTGGGCTCCTTGTCTAATGAGAACTATTGAAAGTCAGCAATAGTGGGACTTGAACTCAGGACGCTGTGATCGAAACACAACTCTTTCTCTCCTGAGCCACTGAGTCTGCTGAGATGAAGAGCGTTTTCAACCGGTTTGATCCAGAGTTGTGTGTTAAATGATGAATAACTTCAACAAACATGGATCTGAAACCTGGGATTTGAACCAGGACTGTCTGGTTGGTGAGGTTGACAACTATCCACTGAGCCGCAGAGACTATGAATCAATGATGTTGTTTTAGATTTCAAGTTTAAAGTTCTTAGCGGATGTAAAAGATTATTGTCATTGATTAATAATTCATTGACTACTCAGATCTATTCTTTATAAAATGATTTTATTTTTAAGTTATTCTTTGTATCAACTGTATCAGTGTGCGTGTTGTGTCCTATCGTCTGTCTATATAAATATACATGCAAAAAAAGTCAGATCTAAAATTATTTTCGCCCTGCTGTGGTGATTTGTGTGAATTACACTATTGCAAATCAAGTCTAATAAACATAAGAGTGTCGCCCTCCTGTGGTGATTTGTGTGAATTACACCGCTGCAAATCGAGTCTAATAAACATAAGAGTGTCGCCCTCCTGTGGTGATTTGTGTGAATTACACCGTTGCAAATCGAGTCTTAAAAACATAAGTGGTGTGCCCTCCTGTGGTGATTTGTGTGAATTACATATAGAGAGTAAAAGAAAAGTGGTGATTTGTGTGAATCACACCGTTGCAAACCGAGTCCGATCGAGTCAAATAAACATAAGTGTTTCGCCCTCCTGTGGTGATTTGTGAGAATTACACCGCTGCAAATTTCTTCTGTCTTCTCTGTTCTGTCCTTATGTTAAAATACATACATACATAACGTTACACACACACACACACACACACACACACACACACACACACACACACACACACACACACACACACATATATATATATATATAAATACAAAAAACCAGACTTTCTCATTCAAAGGAAATCATTATTTTCTGCACCACAGAGCTTGTCAAACATGTTGCTGCTGTAATTTTACAGGAACTTTAATCCAAAGTCTCAGATGTGATCTCGCCCCAAAACCCGACGAGAGTAAAGTGCAGTTTTCCTCCGCTCCTCAAGGCGGCAGAAGCGGGTTCTCCTTCAGTCTGACGCTTCTGCTGCTTGACAACATGACGCTTGATGACAATCACAACAACATGAGCAGATCCTGCAGATGAGAAGATGACAGCTCTTAATGTCACTTTAACAGCACATATTACAGCTCAACCGCAAATAAAACCGACGCAATCAAACGACACATAAATGAGGGAACCGAGTGCGGCACAAGACTCACCTGTAAGTAACTTTTACTTTAGCATGAAGTCAAGTTCTCTTGTCAGTCGCTATTGTAGCGTTACCTTTTTAATCTTTGAATGAATCGCCCTCTGATATTCACACTGTAAAGTGTAATAAGAAGGACTCAGTTGATATTGCAGTGTTTTCTGGGTGTATGTGAGAGTCAGCAGGAGTTGTGTCTTGTGTGAAGCTCTGATGTTCTCCTGTTGCTTCCTGCTTTTATTCTACTTCCTGTTATGACTGGGATCTGAGAGTGAAAACTGCCTTTAGAATGGTATGCAATTAAAATGTCACAGTATTACTACAAGCATGAAACAATACAAGTAAAGAGCAGTGACTAGACACTTTGCAATTGGTTTTCTTTGCATAGCATTTCTAATATTGTTCTGATGTTTTGTAGGTTTGGCTTTCTGTGAATGGGGAGTTAGTTTTTAGTTCTGTGTGTTCAGTGTTTTTATAATTGTGTGTGGCCTGTAAGACAGTGATTAAGTTGAATCTCTAGTTGTTGTTACATGTATAAGATTCAAATGAATCGTCCTCTGATTTATGTGTAGTGAAGTAGAATAATAAGCAATTGTTTCTAGTCTCTTTTGTTATTAGTTGTCTTACTTTATGTAATAATAATCTAGTGGATTGATGCGTGTTAATAGAATCAGTTGATGTGTGTGTGTGTGTGTGTGTGTGTGAGTGTGTGAAGTGTGTGTCTGCTGCTTGTATTGTATCGTAGAGATGCAGTGCCTTTCTTCTAATGAAAACTGTCAGGATCAATCCTTGTGCAGGAACATGTCTTTTAGGGTTACTGTTGTGTGAAGGAAGGTTTCATCTTAAAGTTATAACTCCACTTGGGCAGTTCTTTACAGTGTACATGTTTAAGCATGAAACGTCAGCGCTCGCACCGAAGGCTTTATTTCTATTCAGTGTTTGTGTCCATTTGTAGCCTGTAAAACTGTAATTCAAATCATAGATTATTATTGATACAGCCTTACTGAACTATACTATATTATTATAATAGTAATATATTTTCACACTGTACAACTTTAGGCTTTTAATTTATTCCATTTCCTTTTATTAACTAGTCTTTAGACTAACTTTCACATTGTCATTTATAGATGTAGAATATTGAGTATTTCTAAAACTAATCTTTTTTTTCTTGTCTTTCCTTACAGAAGGAATGTGTTTGGACCATTACATCCAGTCATCAGAAGCAGAGCTGTGGGACGTGTGGACAGACATTGACTGTAATGATGGACTTCTGCTGATGGACAGGTAATGTAAATGCTTGTTTTACTGTACTAAACATGTAGGTTCCCATCATTTTCTTTTTGAAGGGCCTCCCCCTTTGAAAAGCAAATGATGGGAACCTAAGCGGGTGGGGGAGGGACGAGGAGGCGAAATTTTTATATAAAAAAAATATTTTTTTTCCCTTGTTTCCAAAAAGCATAACCCCTGCTGCTGACTGTCCCGGAAGCTCCGGGGGGAGACCGTACTGGTATCCCCCTCCTTTGGGCGCGCCACTCACACAACATCCACTCCTATCGCGGAGATCTGGCTGGGATCAAACCAGCAACCTCTGAACCCGTGAGGCAGCGCTCCTACCTGTGAGCCACAGATCTCTTGCTGATGATGTGCTGGAACTTATATTTCACTGTTATCCTGAGAGTTTCCAATAAAGCAGTTAAAGTGAGATTCGAACCCACGTCTTCATCAGTCTTGTCCTCAGAGAGTGTGTGTTTATCCGCTCGCCCATCATGGATTTCACGTTGACAGCTGGTTTTGGGGCCCCTTGTCTAAGGAGAACTATTGAAAGTCAGCAATAGTGGGACTTGAACTCAGGACGCTGTGATCGAAACACAACTCTTTCTCTCCTGAGCCACTGAGTCTGCTGAGATGAAGAGCGTTTTCAACCGGTTTGATCCAGAGTTGTGTGTTAAATGATGAATAACTTCAACAAACATGGATCTGAAACCTGGGATTTGAACCAGGACTGTCTGGTTGGTGAGGTTGACAACTATCCACTGAGCCGCAGAGACTATGAATCAATGATGTTGTTTTAGATTTCAAGTTTAAAGTTCTTAGCGGATGGAAAAGATTATTGTCATTGATTAATAATTCATTGACTACTCAGATCTATTCTTTATAAAATGATTTTATTTTTAAGTTATTCTTTGTATCAACTGTATCAGTGTGCGTGTTGTGTCCTATCGTCTGTCTATATAAATATACATGCAAAAAAAGTCAGATCTAAAATTATTTTCGCCCTGCTGTGGTGATTTGTGTGAATTACACTATTGCAAATCGAGTCTAATAAACATAAGAGTGTCGCCCTCCTGTGGTGATTTGTGTGAATTACACCGTTGCAAATCGAGTCTTAAAAACATAAGTGGTGTGCCCTCCTGTGGTGATTTGTGTGAATTACACCGCTGCAAATCGAGTCTAAAAAACATAAGTGGTGTGCCCTCCTGTGGTGATTTGTGTGAATTACACCGCTGCAAATCGAGTCTAAAAAACATAAGTGGTGTGCCCTCCTGTGGTGATTTGTGTGAATTACACCGCTGCAAATCGAGTCTAAAAAACATAAGTGGTGTGCCCTCCTGTGGTGATTTGTGTGAATTACACCGCTGCAAATCGAGTCTAAAAAACATAAGTGGTTTGCCCTCCTGTGGTGATTTGTGTGAATTACATATAGAGAGTAAAAGAAAAGTGGTGATTTGTGTGAATCACACCGTTGCAAACCGAGTCCGATCGAATCTAAAAAACATAAGTGTTTCGCCCTCCTGTGGTGATTTGTGTGAATTACACCGCTGCAAATTTCTTTTGTCTTCTCTGTTCTGTCCTTATGTTAAAATACATACATACATAACGTTACACACACTCACACACACTCACACACACACACACACACACACACACACACACACACATATATATATATACAAAAAACTAGACTTTCTCATTCAAAGGAAATCATTATTTTCTGCACCACAGAGCTTGTCAAACATGTTGCTGCTGTAATTTTACAGGAACTTTAATCCAAAGTCTCAGATGTGATCTCGCCCCAAAACCCGACGAGAGTAAAGTGCAGTTTTCCTCCGCTCCTCAAGGCGGCAGAAGCGGGTTCTCCTTCAGTCTGACGCTTCTGCTGCTTGACAACATGACACTTGATGACAATCACAACAACGCGAGCAGATCCTGCAGATGAGAAGATGACAGCTCTTAATGTCACTTTAACAGCACATATTACAGCTCAACCGCAAATAAAACCGACGCAATCAAACGACACATAAATGAGGGAACCGAGTGCGGCACAAGACTCACCTGTAAGTAACTTTTACTTTAGCATGAAGTCAAGTTCTCTTGTCAGTCGCTATTGTAGCGTTACCTTTTTAATCTTTGAATGAATCGCCCTCTGATATTCACACTGTAAAGTGTAATAAGAAGGACTCAGTTGATATTGCAGTGTTTTCTGGGTGTATGTGAGAGTCAGCAGGAGTTGTGTCTTGTGTGAAGCTCTGACGTTCTCCTGTTGCTTCCTGCTTTTATTCTACTTCCTGTTATGACTGGGATCTGAGAGTGAAAACTGCCTTTAGAATGGTATGCAATTAAAATGTCACAGTATTACTACAAGCATGAAACAATACAAGTAAAGAGCAGTGACTAGACACTTTGCAATTGGTTTTCTTTGCATAGCATTTCTAATATTGTTCTGATGTTTTGTAGGTTTGGCTTTCTGTGAATGGGGAGTTAGTTTTTAGTTCTGTGTGTTCAGTGTTTTTATAATTGTGTGTGGCCTGTAAGACAGTGATTAAGTTGAATCTCTAGTTGTTGTTACATGTATAAGATTCAAATGAATCGTCCTCTGATTTATGTGTAGTGAAGTAGAATAATAAGCAATTGTTTCTAGTCTCTTTTGTAATTAGTTGTCTTACTTTATGTAATAATAATCTAGTGGATTGATGCGTGTTAATAGAATCAGTTGATGTGTGTGTGTGTGTGTGTGTGTCTGCTGCTTGTATTGTATCGTAGAGATGCAGTGCTTTTCTTCTAATGAAAACTGTCAGGATCAAGCCTTGTGCCGGAACATGTCTTTTAGGGTTACTGTTGTGTGAAGGAAGGTTTCATCTTAAAGTTATAACTCCACTTGGGCAGTTCTTTACAGTGTACATGTTTAAGCATGAAACGTCAACGCTCGCACCGAAGGCTTTATTTCTATTCAGTGTTTGTGTCCATTTGTAGCCTGTAAAACTGTAATTCAAATCATAGATTATTATTGATACAGCCTTACTGAACTATACTATATTATTATAATAGTAATATATTTTCACACTGTACAACTTTAGGCTTTTAATTTATTCCACTTTCCTTTTATTAACTAGTCTTTAGACTAACTTTCACATTGTCATTTATAGATGTAGAATATTGAGTATTTCTAAAACTAATCTTTTTTTTCTTGTCTTTCCTTACAGAAGGAATGTGTTTGGACCATTACATCCAGTCATCAGAAGCAGAGCTGTGGGACGTGTGGACAGACATTGACTGTAATGATGGACTTCTGCTGATGGACAGGTATGTACATGCTTATGTTTTACTGTACTAAACATGTAGGTTCCCATCATTTTCTTTTTGGAGGGTGACCCCTTTAAAAAGCAAATGATGGGAACCTAAATAGGTGGGGAAGGGACGGCGGGGCAAAATTTTTAGACAGCTAAATTTTTAATGTATAAAAAAGCATAACCCCTGCTGTCCATTGTGGCGGGGCTCGGGGGGGGACCCGAATCATCCCCGCCCCTTCACACATACAGCATTCTCTCTTATCGCGGAGATCTGGCTGGGATCGAACCAGCAACCTCTGAACCCGTGAGGCAGCGCTCTTACCTGTGAGCCACAGATCTCTTGCTGATACATGTGCTGGAACTTATATTTCACTCTTCGAGCCCTGCGATTTTACAATAAATCATGCTGAGGTGGGGATCGAACCCACGTCTCCAGTGCAACCCATCAGCCGAGAACGTGTGTTAAGCCACTGCACCACTGTGGCTTTCACACTGAGAGCTGGTGTTTTGGCCACTTTGTTTGATTTAATCACATCAATTTTGCGCTCAATTCTCATTTACTAAAGGAAAGCCTTTGTGATTAAATGTTCACACACTCATATTGCAGAGACCCGGCTGGGATCGAACCAGCAACCTCTGAACCCTTGAGGCAGCGCTCTTACCTGTGAGCCACAGATCTCTTGCTGATGATGTGCTGGAACTTATATTTCAGTGTTATCCTGAGAGTTTCCAATAAAGCAGTTAAAGTGAGATTTGAACCCAATAGCTTAGCTGGGATTTGAACCTTAACCTCAGCGCATCTTTACCTTCACAGAACATGTGTTTAACCACTGCACCACTGTGGCTTTCACTCTGAGAGCTGGTGTTTTGTCCACTTTGTTTGATATAACAACTATTGATAACAATTTTATTTAAATTATGGGGACAAATTGCTTAGCTGGGATTTGAACCTTAACCTCAGCGCATCCTTACCTTCACAGAACATGTGTTTAACCACTGCACCACTGTGGTTTTCACGCTGAGAGTTGGTGTTTTGGCCACTTTGTTTGATATAACAACTATTGATAACAATTTTATTTAAATTATGGGGACAAATAGCTTAGCTGGGATTTGAACCTTAACTTCAGCGCATACTTACCTTCACAGAACATGTGTTTAACCACTGCACTTCTAAACGCAAGAAGAAGTTGGAACAGAACCGGCAACCACTCGCTTCAGAGCCGGTATTGCTACCACTGAGCCACTGAAGATAACGCTGTGTAAATATCTATGCTGCATATGTCTATACACTAATGACGCTGGAACCTGGGGGCGCCAAGTCCCCGAATTCTCCGCGAATTCCCCGCGAATTCTCCGGACTTGGCGCCCCCCTCATTAGTGCATAGATATATGCAGCATAGATATAGCACTGTTCTATATCTATGCTGCATATGTCTATGCACTACTGATGGGGGCGTATGCAGCATAGATATATACACAGCGTCGTGTTTAGTGGCTCAGTGGTAGCAATACCGGCTCTGAAGCGAGTGGTTACCGGTTCTGTTCCAACTTCTTCTTGCGTTTAGATGTGCAGTGGTTAAACACATGTTCTGTGAAGGTCTATGCTCTGAAGTTAAGGTTCAAATCCCAGCTAAGCTATTTGTCCACCATATTTTAAATACAATTGTTATCATTAGTTTTTTTTATCAAACAAAGTGGCCAAAACACCAACTCTCAGAGTGAAAGCCACAGTGGTGCAGTGGTTAAACACATGTTCTGTGAAGGTAAGGATGCGCTGAGGTTAAGGTTCAAATCCCAGCTCAGCATTTTTTGTCCCCATAATTTAAATAAAATTGTTATCAATAGTTGTTATATCAAACAAAGTGGACAAAACACCAGCTGTCAGCGTGAAAACCACAGTGGTGCAGTGGTTAAACACATGTTCTGTGAAGGTAAGGATGTGCTGAAGTTAAGGTTCAAATCCCAGGCTTCACATCCATGTTTGTTAAAGTTATTTATCATTTAACACAAAACTCTGGATCAAACCGGTTGAAAACGCTTTTCATCTCATCAGACTCAGTGGCTCAGGAGAGAAAGAGTTGTGTTTCAATCACAGCGTCCTGAGTTCAAGTCCCACTATTGCTGACTTTCAATAGTTCTCATTAGACAAGGGGCCCCAAAACCAGCTGTCAACGTGAAATCCATGATGGGCGAGTGGATAAACACACACTCTCTGAGGACAAGACTGATGAAGACGTGGGTTCAAATATCACTTTAACTGCTTTATTGGAAACTCTCAGGATAACAGTGAAATATAAGTTCCAGCACATCATCAGCAAGAGATCTGTGGCTCACAGGTAAGAGCGCTGCCTCATGGGTTCAGAGGTTGCTGGTTTGATCCCAATATGAGTGTGTGAATATTTAAGCACAAAGGCTTTCCTTTAGTAAATGAGAATTGAGCGTAAAATTGATGTGATTAAATCAAACAAAGTGGCCAAAACACCAGTTCTCAGTATGAAAGCCACAGTGGTGCAGTGGCTTAACACACGTTCTCGGCTGATGGGTTGCACTGGAGACGTGGGTTCGATCCCCACCTCAGCATGATTTATTGTAAAATCGCAGGGCTCGAAGAGTGAAATATAAGTTCCAGCACATTTATCAGCAAGAGATCTGTGGCTCACAGGTAAAAGCGCTGCCTCACGGGTTCAGAGGTTGCTGGTTCGATCCCAGCCAGATCTCCGCGATACGAGTGAATGCTGTATGTGTGAAGGGGCGGGGATGTTTCGGGTCCCCCCCCCGAGCTCTGCCACAATGGACAGCAGGGGTTATGCTTTTTTATACATTAAAAATTTAGCTGTCTAAAAATTTTGCCCCGCCGTCCCTTCCCCACCTATTTAGGTTCCCATCATTTGCTTTTTAAAGGGGTCACCCTCCAAAAAGAAAATGATGGGAACCTACATGTTTAGCACAGTAAAACAAGCATTTACATTACCTGTCCATCAGCAGAAGTCCATCATTACAGTCAATGTCTGTCCACACGTCCCACAGCTCTGCTTCTGATGACTGGATGTAATGGTCCAAACAAATTCCTTCTGTAAGGAAAGACATGAAAAAAAATATTTTAGTTTTAGAAATACTCAATATTCTACATCTATAAATGACAATTTGAAAGTTAGTCTAAAGACTGGTTAATAGAAGGAAATGGAATAAATTAAAAGCCTAAAGTTGTAAAGTTGTACACAATAACTCAATAACCCCCCCCCCCAACTCAAAAATTCGGCCTGAAAAAAAAAAAAAAAAAAAAAAAACGACAGTGCTACCCCTTACGTTTTTTTTTTTCGGGCGAAACATTAAGTTTCTCCAATCTTCCCAAAACTCTGGATTCTGATAGAGGGCCATGAGACTTAGACCTGAGTGCAAAAATGGAGGCTCTAGCCCCTTCCAGAGCTGAGATATCGAAACTCAAAAATTAGGCCCGAAAAAAAGAAAACGTAAGGGGTACCACTGTCGTTTTTTTTTTTTTTTCGGGCGAAAAATTAAGTTTCTCCAATCTTGCCAAAAGTCTCAATTCTGATAGAGGGCCATGAGACTTAGACCTGAGTGCAAAAATGGAGGCTCTAGCCCATTCCAGAGCTGAGATATGGAAACTCAAAAATTCGGCCCGAAAAAAAAAACGACAGTGGTACCCCTTACGTTTTTTTTTTTTCGGGCGAAAAATTAAGTTTCTCCAATCTTTCCAAAACTCTGGATTCTGATAGAGGGCCATGAGACTTAGACCTGAGTGCAAAAATGGAGTTTCTAGCCCCTTCCAGAGCTGAGATATCGAAACTCAAAAATTCGGCCCAAAAAAAAAAACGACAGTGGTACCCCTTACGTTTTTTTTTTTCGGGCGAAAAATTAAGTTTCTCCAATCTTCCCAAAACTCTCAATTCTGATAGAGGGCCATGAGACTTAGACCTGAGTGCAAAAATGGAGGCTCTAGCCCATTCCAGAGCAGAGATATGGAAACTCAAAAATTCGGCCCGAAAAAAAAACGACAGTGGTACCCCTTACGGTTTTTTTTTCGGGCGAAAAATTAAGTTTCTCCAATCTTTCCAAAACTCTGGATTCTGATAGAGGACCATGAGACTTAGACCTGAGTGCAAAAATTGAGGCTCTAGCCCCTTCCAGAGCAGAGATATCGAAACTCAAAAATTCGGCCCAAAAAAAAAAAACGACAGTGGTACCCCTTACGTTTTTTTTTTTCGGGCGAAAAATTAAGTTTCTCCAATCTTCCCAAAACTCTTGATTCTGATAGAGGGCCATGAGACTTAGACCTGAGTGCAAAAATGGAGGCTCTAGCCCATTCCAGAGCTGAGATATGGAAACTCAAAAATTCGGCCCGGAAAAAAAACGACAGTGGTACCCCTTACGTTTTTTTTTTTCGGGCGAAAAATTAAGTTTCTCCAATCTTTTCCAAAACTCTGGATTCTGATAGAGGGCCATGAGACTTAGACCTGAGTGCAAAAATGGAGGCTCTAGGCCCTTCCAGAGCTGAGATATAGAAACTCAAAAATTGGGCCCAAAAAAAAAAACGACAGTGGTACCCCTTACGTTTTTTTTTTTCGGGCGAAAAATTAAGTTTCTCCAATCTTCCCAAAACTCTGGATTCTGATAGAGGGCCATGAGACTTAGACCTGAGTGCAAAAATGGAGGCTCTAGCCCCTTCCAGAGCTGAGATATCGAAACTCAAAAATTAGGCCCGAAAAAAAAAAACGACAGTGGTACCCCTTACGTTTTTTTTTTTCGGGCGAAAAATTAAGTTTCTCCAATCTTCCCAAAACTCTCAATTCTGATAGAGGGCCATGAGACTTAGACCTGAGTGCAAAAATGGAGGCTCTAGCCCATTCCAGAGCTGAGATATGGAAACTCAAAAATTCGGCCCGAAAAAAAAACGACAGTGGTACCCCTTACGTTTTTTTTTTTTCGGGCGAAAAATTAAGTTTCTCCAATCTTCCCAAAACTCTGGATTCTGATAGAGGGCCATGAGACTTAGACCTGAGTGCAAAAATGGAGGCTCTAGCCCCTTCCAGAGCTGAGATATCGAAACTCAAAAATTCGGCCCAAAAAAAAAAACGACAGTGGTACCCCTTACGTTTTTTTTTTCGGGCGAAAAATTAAGTTTCTCCAATCTTCCCAAAACTCTGGATTCTGATAGAGGGCCATGAGACTTAGACCTGAGTGCAAAAATGGAGGCTCTAGCCCCTTCCAGAGCTGAGATATCGAAACTCAAAAATTCGGCCCAAAAAAAAACGACAGTGGTACCCCTTACGGTTTTTTTTTTTCGGGCGAAAAATTAAGTTTCTCCAATCTTCCCAAAACTCTGGATTCTGATAGAGGGCCATGAGACTTAGACCTGAGTGCAAAAATGGAGGCTCTAGCCCCTTCCAGAGCTGAGATATCGAAACTCAAAAATTCAGCCCAAAAAAAAAGACAGTGGTACCCCTTACGTTTTTTTTTTTTCGGGCGAAAAATTAAGTTTCTCCAATCTTCCCAAAACTCTGGATTCTGATAGAGGGCCATGAGACTTAGACCTGAGTGCAAAAATGGAGGCTCTAGCCCCTTCCAGAGCAGAGATATCGAAACTCAAAAATTCGGCCCCAAAAAAAAAACGACAGTGGTACCCCTTACGTTTTTTTTTTCGGGCGAAAAATTAAGTTTCTCAAATCTTCCCAAAACTCTCGATTCTGATAGAGGGCCATGAGACTTAGACCTGAGTGCAAAAATGGAGGCTCTAGCCCCTTCCAGAGCAGAGATATCGAAACTCAAAAATTCGGCCCCAAAAAAAAAACGACAGTGGTACCCCTTACGTTTTTTTTTTCGGGCGAAAAATTAAGTTTCTCCAATCTTCCCAAAACTCTGGATTCTGATAGAGGGCCATGAGACTTAGACCTGAGTGCAAAAATGGAGGCTCTAGCCCCTTCCAGAGCTGAGATATCGAAACTCAAAAATTCGGCCCAAAAAAAAAAACGACAGTGGTACCCCTTACGTTTTTTTTTTTCGGGCGAAAAATTAAGTTTCTCCAATCTTCCCAAAACTCTGGATTCTGATAGAGGGCCATGAGACTTAGACCTGAGTGCAAAAATGGAGGCTCTAGCCCATTCCAGAGCTGAGATATGGAAACTCATTAGAAGAAAAGCACTGCATCTCTACGATACAATACAAGCAGCAGACACACACACACACACACACACACACACACACACACACATCAACTGATTCTATTAACATGCATCAATCCACTAGATTATTATTACATAAAGTAAGACAACTAATAACAAAAGAGACTAGAAACAATTGCTTATTATTCTACTTCACTACACATAAATCAGAGGACGATTCATTTGAATCTTATACGTGTAACAACAACTAGAGATTCAACTTAATCACTGTCTTACAGGCCACACACAATTATAAAAACACTGAACACACAGAACTAAAAACTAACTCCCCATTCACAGAAAGCCAAACCTACAAAACATCAGAACAATATTAGAAATGCTATGCAAAGAAAACCAATTGCAAAGTGTCTAGTCACTGCTCTTTACTTGTATTGTTTCATGCTTGTAGTAATACTGTGACATTTTAATTGCATACCATTCTAAAGGCAGTTTTCACTCTCAGATCCCAGTCATAACAGGAAGTAGAATAAAAGCAGGAAGCAACAGGAGAACATCAGAGCTTCACACAAGACACAACTCCTGCTGACTCTCACATACACCCAGAAAACACTGCAATATCAACTGAGTCCTTCTTATTACACTTTACAGTGTGAATATCAGAGGGCGATTCATTCAAAGATTAAAAAGGTAACGCTACAATAGCGACTGACAAGAGAACTTGACTTCATGCTAAAGTAAAAGTTACTTACAGGTGAGTCTTGTGCCGTACTCGGTTCCTCATTTATGTGTCGTTTGATTGCGTCGGTTTTATTTGCGGTTGAGCTGTAATATGTGCTGTTAAAGTGACATTAAGAGCTGTCATCTTCTCATCTGCAGGATCTGCTCGTGTTGTTGTGATTGTCATCAAGCGTCATGTTGTCAAGCAGCAGAAGCGTCAGACTGAAGGAGAACCCGCTTCTGCCGCCTTGAGGAGCGGAGGAAAACTGCACTTTACTCTCCTCGGGTTTTGGGGCGAGATCACATCTGAGACTTTGGATTAAAGTTCCTGTAAAATTACAGCAGCAACATGTTTGACAAGCTCTGTGGTGCAGAAAATAATGATTTGCCTTTGAATGAGAAAGTCTAGTTTTTTGTATTTATATATATATATATATATGTGTGTGTGTGTGTGTGTGTGTGTAACGTTATGTATGTATGTATTTTAACATAAGGACAGAACAGAGAAGACAGAAGAAATTTGCAGCGGTGTAATTCACAAAAAACACCACAGGAGGGCGAAACACTTATGTTTTTTAGATTCGATCGGACTCGGTTTGCAACGGTGTGATTCACACAAATCACCACAGGAGGGCGACACTCTTATGTTTATTAGATTCGATCGGACTCGGTTTGCAACGGTGTAATTCACACAAATCACCACTTTTCTTTTACTCTCTATTTGTAATTCACACTAATCACCACAGGAGGGCACACCACTTATGTTTTTTAGACTCGATTTGCAACGGTGTAATTCACACAAATCACCACAGGAGGGCGACACTCTTATGTTTATTAGATTCGATCGGACTCGGTTTGCAACGGTGTAATTCACACAAATCACCACAGGAGGGCGACACTCTTATGTTTATTTGACTTGATTTGCAATAGTGTAATTCACACAAATCACCACAGGAGGGCGACACTCGTATGTTTATTAGACTTGATTTACAACGGTGTAATTCACACAAATCACCACAGGAGGGCGACACTCTTATGTTTATTTGACTTGATTTGCAATAGTGTAATTCACACAAATCACCACAGGAGGGCGACACTCGTATGTTTATTAGACTTGATTTGCAATAGTGTAATTCACACAAATCACCACAGCAGGGCGAAAATAATTTTAGATCTGACTTTTTTTGCATGTATATTTATATAGACAGACGATAGGACACAACACGCACACTGATACAGTTGATACAAAGAATAACTTAAAAATAAAATCATTTTATAAAGAATAGATCTGAGTAGTCAATGAATTATTAATCAATGACAATAATCTTTTACATCCGCTAAGAACCTTAAACTTGAAATCTAAAACAACATCATTGATTCACAGTCTCTGCGGCTCAGTGGATAGTTGTCAACCTCACCAACCAGACAGTCCTGGTTCAAATCCCAGGTATCAGATTCATGTTTGTTAAAGTTATTTATCATTTAACACACAACTCTGGATCAAACCAGTTGAAAATGCTCTTCATCTCAACAGACTCAGTGGCTCAGGAGAGAAAGAGTTGTGTTTCAATCACAGCGTCCTGAGTTCAAGTCCCACTATTGCTGACTTTCAATAGTTCTCATTAGACAAGGAGCCCCAAAACCAGCTGTCAACGTGAAATCCATGATGGGCGAGTGGATTAACACACACTCTCTGAGGACAAGACTGATGAAGACGTGGATTCGAATCTCACTTTAACTGCTTTATTGGAAACTCTCAGGATAACACTGAAATATAAGTTCCAGCACATCATCAGCAAGAGATCTGTGGCTCACAGGTAACAGCGCTGCCTCACGGGTTCAGAGGTTGCTGGTTCGAGTCCAGCCAGATCTCCGCGATATGAGTGAATGCTGTGGTGCGAGTGAGAAGGTGTGGGGGATCATGGGGTCCCCCCCTGAGCTCCCGCACGATGTCCAGCAGGGGGTTATGCTTTTGACTGGAAAAAATGAAAATGGCAATAAAAAAATTCGTCCGCCGTCCCTTCCCCACCTACTTAGGTTCCCATCATTTGCTTTTCAAAGGACTGGCCCTTCAAAAAGAAAATGATGGGAACCTATATGTTTAGCACAGTAAAACAAGCATTTACATTACCTGTCCATCAGCAGACGTCCATCATTACAGTCAATGTCTGTCCACACGTCCCACAGCTCTGCTTCTGATGACTGGATGTAATGGTCCAAACACATTCCTTCTGTAAGGAAAGACATGAAAAAAAATATTTTAGTTTTAGAAATACTCAATATTCTACATCTATAAATGACAATGTGAAAGTTAGTCTAAAGACTAGTTAATAGAAGGAAATGGAATAAATTAAAAGCCTAAAGTTGTACAGTGTGAAAATATATTACTATTATAATAATATAGTATAGTTCAGTAAGGCTGTATCAATAATAATCTATGATTTGAATTACAGTTTTACAGGCTACAAATGGACACAAACACTGAATAGAAATAAAGCCTTCGGTGCGAGCGCTGACACTTCATGCTTAAACATGTACACTGTAAAGAACTGCCCAAGTGGAGTTATAACTTTAAGATGAAACCTTCCTTCACACAACAGTAACCCTAAAAGACATGTTCCTGCACAAGGATTGATCCTGACAGTTTTCATTAGAAGAAAAGCACTGCATCTCTATGATACAATGAAGCAGCAGACAAACACTTCACACACACACACACACACACACACACACACATCAACTTATTCTATTAACACGCATCAATCCACTAGATTATTATTACATAAAGTAAGACAACTAATAACAAAAGAGACTAGAAACAATTGCTTATTATTCTACTTCACTACACATAAATCAGAGGACGATTCATTTGAATCTTATACATGTAACAAAAACCACTGTCGTTTTTTTTTCAGGTCGAAATTTTGAGTTTCGATATCTCAGCTCTGGAAGGGTCTAGAGACTCCATTTTTGCACTCAGGTCTAAGTCTCATGACCCTCTTTTAGAATCCAGAATTTTGAGAACATTGGAGAAACTTAATTTCTCGCCTAAAAAAAAAACGAAAGGGGTACCACTGTCATTTTTTTTTTTTCGGGTCGAATTTTTGAGTTTCGATATCTCAGCTCTGGAAGGGTCTAGAGCCTCCATTTTTGCACTCATGTCTAAGTCTCATTGCCCTCTATCAGAATCCAGAGTTTTGAGAAGATTTGAGAAACTTAATTTCTCACCCAAAAAAAAAAACAAAAAACGAAAGGGGTACCACTGTCGTTTTTTTTTTCCGGGTCGAATTTTTGTGTTTCGATATACCAAACACAAAGGGGTTAGGGGTTAACAGTCAGAGGACCCAGAACCAGATATGAAGAATGAAGACCCGGAGTCAGAATTATAAAAATTAAAGAAAGTTTTACTGAACATAGTTTGCCATTTCATCAGCAGAAGTCAGCTTCAAGACTCACTCAGGAGTTCGTAGGCCGCCCCCTTACAGTTACAACAATCACCAGCAGTTATACTATTTTCAAGGTCTAAGCTACGTCATTGCTTACACGTTGAATGATTCTCATTGGCTAAGAAATAGATAAACACAGTAATTTTCCACACATATACAGATAGACACGTCATGACCTTCCAGGTCACAGATTTGGGATGCTGGCGCCAGTGTGTCCAGAACAACAACTCATTCAATCTCCAATAATGGCAGTGGTTCCTTAACCTGCATCCAAGAAGACTAAGATATCATCACCTTTCTGGGCAGCGCTCGCCCGATGGCCACTGCCGGCGTGGAGCAGAACAGCCCGACGCTCATGCCAGGAGTGGCGAAAGTGGATTTATCTGTGGGGACAGCAATATCACAGCTGGCCACTAACTGGCAACCCGCCGCCGTGGCAACACCGTTCACCATAGCGATGACCGGCACCGGGAGATCCTGAATCAGGGTCATGACCTTTGAGAAAGGTAGAGTTATTCAAATGCATTGACCATATACTGTAAAACAAGATGGACTTCACTCTCTAATATGGTGGAAAGATTTAGGACCTGCATCTGCGCAGTAGTGTGTGTGTGTGTGTGTGTGTGTGTGTGTGTGCGTGGAGCTGATATATCAAGGTCCCGCACACACACACTCGCAGAAGCGGCTAGTACAAAGTTTACTGTGTGAAATAAACAATTAAGAAATAGAAATTAAAGTTTAAGGAATCATGACGTCACATTCCCGTTTGTATAGCATCAAATAACTAACTAAGACCAAACTTATTTAAAAACATTTAAACTTAAATCATTGTGATAAAAATAAACTACCTAAAATGACAGAAAACATCTTGGAAGAAATGCATTTGACGTGACACACACACACACACACACACACACACACACACACACACACACACACACACACACACACACACACACACACACACACACACACACACACACACACACACAAACACACACACACACACACACACGGCCCTCTTCTGTTCTGAGGGCTCGTATAGAAACTAAAAAGAAATTCCAGGACTTTTCAAGCTCTACTTTTTTGGTTTTCAAGGACCATAATCAGAGATCACACTTATCAAACAATATCAGGATTATTTAAACTTAAATTACAGATATAAGGTATCCAAAATACAACTTTAAGTACAATTTAATAGTCTTAATATATATATATATATATATATATATATATATATATATATATTAAATACAACGTTTATGATGGCTATTCTTTTTTTAATAATTATTTGATATTATAATCTTGGTGTACTTCGTATCGAGGAGTTGTGATGGGGGTTTATCATTTTGCCTGAATATATTGTATTTGTTCTTTCAAAAACATGTAATTTCATATATATTGTACTTAAATAAGTCAAACACTTTTCAAGCACTCCTCATAAATTTGGCTGTTTTCAAGGCTTTTCCAGGACTTACATTTCAACAAGTCAAATTCAAGTTCTTTAAGCACCTTGTGTACAGTAAGTGACCTCTGACCTCTGAGCAGGTCTGGAACACCTTGATGTGATGCTCGCGACCCCAGGCAGAGGTCAACTCCCCAAGGTCATGACCCAAGGAAAACACAGGACCCCGTGCTGCAGAGAGAGACAGAGTTAGTGTGTGTGTGTACGGCTGGTTCTGAACGCATCTTTCTCTAGATTGACTGAATGTTTTGCCTGATATGATGATGACACGCAGGTCTGGTGTGTGTAAGTCTGTCAGGAGGTTTTCTCTCAGAGACTCCAGCATAGACAGAGCGTTCCTCTTCCTGGGGTTGTTCAGGATAATCCTCCTGAAACACACACAAACACCAGATCTGATGCTTCAATCTAAACACTGATTCCTGAATCATAGGGGTGTAACGATTCCCTCATGTCACGATACTGAACGACATTACAGCGATACTCCAAGACATTTGATAAAAGATGAACAAAAAATGTCCTGTTGATTAAAATGTCAATTTGATATTACATTGTGTGTGTGAATGAATAGACTTGGACTTGGTGCTGAAACCCAATGAACAATAGAGACACCAGAATAACAATATTCATGATCCTGAAGCTGAAAATATAATTATTTTAGACGAATGCTTGCACTCTTTCACTGCGTACATTTATTTACAATAATGTATAGGCTAATTTTACTGGTAACAACACATGTGGCATTATCAGGTCACACTAATATGCATTATTATACATTATATTCAACATTATATACAGTAGTTTAATGGAGTACTCTGAAAACTCTGAAAACCTTTTTTCCCTCACAGTAATTATTATAGTTCTAAAACTATGGAATGAAGTGAACAAGTTTTAAGTCCATTCAAGATATTTTTACCTGATGAAATATAATATACAGTGCTCAGCTTTAGTGGGAAAATGAATATTCTCCTCAATAACACACAAAAGCACACAATATTCAACCCTAATAAAGTTGTCAGATGTTTTACTTGTGCTTACAATCAATTAAAGTCAATGCTTTTGGTTATTTTGGCAATTTTGCGTTGTGCATTATTATCGTTTGGTGTATTTTATTTATTTTGGGCCTGTCGTTATACTGAACAACTGTGGACTATTGGTACATTTATTAATGATAATATCTACCAAATGTAACCATGTAACTCTTATTTTAGGGCACTATGAATCTGCTTCACCAACCCTTTTTTAATGAATTTCAAAAGAATTTGGACACCATTTCATCTTCAGTAAATAAGAAAGCATGTAGAACGACTTACATTTGCAGTGCCTTTGATTTGTATACTTTAATTGATGTAAAATATATATATATATATATATATATATATATATATATATTATTTTCGTTTTCTTCATTTATTATGAATTTTTTTCATAATAAAATTATGAAATTTTCTTCGGTGTATTACAATGGGTGTATTTTTGTTCAATTTTTTGAATACACAAAAAGTGAGTATTATAAACGTGACAACTTTTTTAGCCTTAATAAGACTAATAATATCGAGCGATGCGGGTCAGAGGTCACGCTAGAAGTTCGCACCTGATTCCATCCTGCTGTTTTCTGACGGTCAGAGAGGAAGACGCTCATCTTCCTCATCCAGATCCTCCAAAACTCCCCGCTGGACTTCAGAAGGTTTGACGCTTTGTAAATTCCGCGTACAGTCATATTTAATCACTGCAGACAAAGTAAATAAGCACGGGGTAGTGAAGACAGTGACTACACCGGAAGTGAATTTCAGCTGTTCTTCAAAATAAAGGTCTTGTTTTTTTTTACATGGAACATTTGCCAACAAATACATCGTGGATCAAAGTCCATATTTTGCTATATTCAACACAAAATAACTTAAAATAACATTAAAATGTTCTTGCTGCATATTTTATTATGTTGTGACAGTGGGCCATTTATTCGCGCGCTTATACATTTTTCTGTTATTAAAACGTCTGAATCAACGAGGCTTTAAAAGAATATTCTTAATCAAACTAGTTTTCCTCTAGAGTTATTGCTGTAGAAAAAAATGTTGCAGTGGTGTAATTCACACATTTTACCACAAGGTGGCGTTTTAAATTAAAATTTAAACAACAATTATACTACTAAATACATAAATAAAAGGGGTCATGTGTTTCATGTGATAACGAAAAATTTATTTAATATGAAATCAATGTAAAATAATGTAATGCAAAGTTTTCCTCTGACTAGAATTTAACAAGAATTATCATATCATAGGTAGAAATAAATAATAAACTGTAATTCACATGAATTCACCACAGTTCGATCATTAGACTTTTTAAAATTATATTATGTATTTGTTTATTTTAACAAAACGGGGGCAGTACAATACACAGAGAATGATCCAATCAATTTTTCATAATTTTCCCTTGGGTTATACATCCAATAATATATTTCATTTTAAAACTACATGTTTGCCAGATGTTTTCAATTATCTATCAAATGATTTTAATCAATGCAAATAATTTAATAAAAGGTTTTTAACAGAAATGAAATAATTAACAGCAGTGTAATGCACATAACTCACCACAGGAGGGCGTTTAGACGAGAGTCTTTAAATTGATATTACAGATAAGAATATATTTCCACTAAACAAAAGCGAATTTTTCTAGATTTGTTACTATGTCGCGTTAAATTAATAATTTATTAAATAATGTGAAATAAATGCAAAGTAAGTGCAGAGTTTAGTGCAGAGTTTTCCTCTGGCGCTCTGAACTGTATGTGAACATTATTATGTGAACATGGATAAACATGGTGTGTGTGTGTGTGTGTGTGTGTGTGTGTGTGTGTGTGTATTTAGTTATACATATGTGCTGTGTAAGTTAGCCTATAATACTTTTGGAAATTATAACCTAAAACAAAAACAAATAATAACCCATATAGATAAAGAATAATAATTGTATAATATGGATTAATTAGCACTTACTATAGGCTGCATTGTAAACGTTACTTTACTCTCTAGCACAGTAATCAGTAAAGCAATACCATAATAAACTAAAAGATCAATATATGTAGACATCTAAATGTAAGTCTGCTTTTTAAAAATATTACACTTCAATACGTACTGAATGTGCGCGTTAAATTACACGTTCAAATTGGTCGTCTTAATATGCAACGCGACGACAACTGACGTCTTAACACGACCAGAATTAGCGCGTCTATGCGTACAAAAAAAAAAAAAAAAAAAAAAAAAAAAACGCGGACAAACAGTGCGTGTTTACGCGGTCAAATTTCACGCGTTTAGTTTAAAGACTATTGGCCCCGTTCGCGTTCCATACTATGCTAATTTCACCTGCCGACGCTTGATGATGACGAGACGTCACAACACGTGCAGATTGTTTTATTTATGCACATTGTCACGTCACATAAAACCAACAAAATCCAATATGTCACGCGTCTCACCTGTAAGTAACTTCTGTCCTCTTGTGTCTTGTTCATTAGATTCATGCAGTGATGGAATTAACTCTGTAAACCCTGACATATTAATCCATGCATGTTCAATCAATTATTTTTTTTACAATTACATTTTATTATTTACAATTTTTTTTTTTTTACATTACAGATTATACCAAATATAGAATAAAATATGCATATATGTTTATGTTTAACATCATATTTGACACATTTGGGATAGTGAAAATATGGAGGGAAAACAGCTCAACTTTGACTGAGCAAAAACATGTAATTCAGTGCAGATAGTGTTTTTTTTTTTTGTTATTAATGGCCGAAAAGTTATTTATTTTGCAAATCAATGAGATCCTTATAAAGGATATTTACATAAAATGCATATAAATGTCACTATATCTACTAATATTTTTTCATGATCAAAGCTCTTTAGTTTTAAAACAATGTTATGCAATACAATGATGATTGACAGATAAACAAATAAACCTCCTTCAAAATCCAGATGATCATATTTGATACTCACAGATTTTACTGATAAATATCACTGACAGTATGACAGTCACTCTTGTGTTTCCTTGAGCAAAGCCCGAGGACGACAGACAGTGACGGGACGCTTCTATTGATTAGTTTGTGTTTCTGTTGTTTTCTAGATCAACAAACTCAGTTTCGTGTCTGAGTTACACTGACAGACATCACTGGTGGACATCCGCTCCTGGACAGGTAATGATTTCTAAGCTCATTTATTTATTTAACAAGTAATCTTTTATTCTTGTACACTAAATGAACTTTAATATCTTTTCTGCATATGTAAACTTGATGTACTGTAAAACAAAACAAAAAGTAGCTGCATGATCTTTGAGCTAACAACAAATCAACTTGGGAAGATTCATTTATCGTATTACAGATTTATTCCATGCATGCTCATTTTATAAAAGCAAAACTAAATCATTACATTGCTTATACAGTTTTAGATATTTTATGACAATAACATTAACAATCATGACTATATATGCAAACAAGAGTCCACTATATGAGAACAGATGTACGTTACAAAATAACCCGTCAAAGATGTTATGTTATTTTTGTACATGTTATCTTGTACATCTGTTCTCTGATAGTGGACTCTTTTGTTTGCATAATATAGTCATGATTGTTTCATAAAAAACATCTGTATAAGCAAGACTGGACAGTTGGATAGATTAATATTAGACTATTTCTCACTGTACATGAACATGACTGAAATCAAATATTTTCATTTTCCTGCATCTTTTCTCGGATGTCCCTGGTAAAACCAGGGCTTTTGACACAAAAAATATTAAATATAATAATAAATATTAAAAAAATATATTTTTTTTACTGGCCATGCAAGTTTCCCGAAAACAGGCAGATACGACACCAACATTTTAGAGATACCAGAGAAAATTCACAATTGTATCTTCCAATTTTGATACCATAGCTAAAACTTCTACCACAACTAATATACATTTAAACATTAAAAGTTTAAACAAGTAAATAGTCAGTAATAAAATAGCTATCAAATTACAATCAAAAACACAAATAAATACAATGTAACAGATAAAAATTAAACAAACTGTGTCAGGTTGGTCTGACAGTAGTTTTCCAGTTAAAGAAATTTAATAAAGTAAGCAGTTTAATCAATTTGACATCACTATGCAAAATATAATTTAATATTTATTCACCGTTTTATTCAATTTATTTTTTGGGGGTAAATAAAATAACATGGATATGAGATTTACATTTACATGCGTCCATGAGAATTATTAATTGTAATATAATTTCACGTAATAATTAAAAATAATTTGTTCACAAACAATAATAAGGCTTCTGCCACAAGAGGGCGCGACATCTACATTAATGTTGTTTACAACAAAGTAAACATTACTGACACTACACAGATTTACTCTGATAAAAACACAAACATTTCCCTGCCAAACCCCGCCTAGTGTTTATCAATTATTAAAGTCTTGGAAACGTTTGCTTAGAAAATGAGGAGTCGGTGTTCGTCATCACGAGCGCGCGCTCCCGTAGAACCCGATCATGAGCCAGTTCACGCGCACAGACTTATTTAAAGCACATTCACTCTCAGCGTACAGAAACAACTGGAATGACACTCGGTTTATTCGTTTAACTTGCTCTGGTCAGATGTTTCAGGATGTTTTGGTATGTTAAAGTTGTTTTCCCTCCCTCTTAAAAGTCTTTTACTCATCTTAGACTGGTGTGTGTTTGGGCGAATCTCGTTCAAAACGGACACAGGTATTTCACCGCGAAGAAATATATTTGAATATGATTTCATCATTATTATTTACATGACATTGAAGTCAATTTGAAAACTTCGTATCTCACTGTAGTGTTTATTTGTACCGAGTTTAACTTGATTTTGATTACGGTAATTAAAACGACATGCGTTTACTCATAACCAAAAACCTAACTCTCAAAAAAAACTTAATCGTCATAAAGATACATTTATGTTTTTTTATTATACAGTTGTTACACCTTTGTTTTTCTTTCTAGATAACCAAATAAATAAATTACATTAAATAATTCTAATAAGTTTTGCTAGCATTCCCATTAAAATATGAAAACGTTATTTCTGAATGTTCCCTGAACAGCGTCCAGTTGTTTAAAACGTTTAATAGAACTTAATTCTTGATCACTTTACAAACTTTATTGGAACATTTTACATTTTAAACAAGTTTTACCAACCACCAGACTCTTAACAAACCCTCTGTTACTGGAAAAAACGTTTGTTCATAACTTTGAGAGAACCTTGCCAGAACGTTCTGTTATTATGTTTATTTGTTTGCATCACTATCTTGTATAAGTAAATATTTTCAGATTCTATAATTATCTAGCATTCATAACACTATTAAAGCTGTGTGGTGTCGATAAGTGCTGTTGTCAGACCTCAGGAGATCTGTGTGAGCAAACACAATATTCCTAGTGATCTGAGAACAGCAGTTAGGACGGAGGATTGATTTTGACTGTGTATTGTTTGTGTGTTCCAGGTGCATCATGTGAAACACACACACCTGTGAGAGGAGCTGCTCTACATGAGTAGTCTGTGGGAGAGGCTCCTCAGTAAATCCTTACACTGAAGACAGTGGTCTCTGGAGGTCACAAAGCTCATGCATCGTTAGATGGCCCACTTTAGACATTCGACTATATTAGGAACTACTACGGGTGTAACAATACCCTCATGTCACGATACGTTATTACTGCGATACTGCAAAAAATGAACTGTTGATTAAAATGCTAAATTTGATATTACATTATGGGTGTAAATGAATAGACTTGGACTTGGTGCTGAAACCCAATGAACAATAGAGACACCAGAATAACAATATTCATGATCCTGAAGCTGAAAATATCATTATTTTAGACGAATGCTTGCACTCTTTCACTGCGTACATTTATTTACAATAATGTATAGGCCACTTTTACTGTAACAACGCATGTGGCGTTATCAGGACAAACAAATATACATTATATTCAACATTATATACAGTAATTTAATGGAGTACTGACACTAAAACTTTAATTTTTTTCCCCTCACACTGTAATTTTTATGTTGGGTGAACTATTCACGACACATATTGCCTTTTTGTATTGTGACATGCATGATATACTACGTGCCAACTAGCTGTCATTCAATGTTTTCTTTAACGTTCTCTCTCTCTCTAGGAAGATGATCTGCAGTTCCTCAGCCTCGAGGAAAGGGAGTGTATTCTGTTCTTTGAGGAGACCATCGGCTCCCTGGAGGAGGACGATGAGAGGACGGGACTCACGGTGGGGCGTCCGGCCTCACACACACAAACGGCACGTCATCACAGCCCTGTAGATCATGACATCATTGACCTGATCCACCCTACACACGATGCCAACAACCATAAAGACACGCTGCCCTTCACGCCAGGTACCCGAAGACAACACAAATCCACCCATCTTACTGACCGAACCTCTAATGAAACCACAACTCCATGTAAACCACAGAAAACATTCAAATTCTGATCTTAAAGGTTCTCTAAGCGATGTGGGGCCAAAACATTTTTTGTCACATACATCAAACGTCTCCTCACTATCGGCTAGCTGCCGGTCACCTAAACACACTGTAAAAAAACGCGGTCTCTGTAGACACCACAGGCTCCACAAACGGCAACAAAAACAATCATGTCTTACCCGGACCACGAAACCTAACAAACAGTGTTCCAGCCAATCACTGGCAAGAAGTATCTGAGGGTGGGTCTGGGGGGTTAGTGCGCGTGCACATGAAGGGGGTGTGTGTGTGAAGGAGAGAGAAGTATCATCAGAGGGAAGTTTGAAAAATGGCCGACACACGACCAAAGAGACGTCGTTCTGAAGAACAAATTAAAAAGAAGGAGTCGGATAAAGAACGTGCGAAGTTCCGAGTTTACATCGGTAGCAAAGCTTTTGAACGATGGCGAGAACTCCGGCGGCAGAAGGGCTTCCAGTCCGACATTCAGGTTGCTCTGTTTTTGCTGGACAGGTGGGTAATGTTAAAATGTTTTTTTTTTATTGTTCTAAATTGTGTTATGTTCGCCAAACCCACACAAGGATATAATTAGCTAGAACTATGCAGTCAGCGAAATGCACGTTCACAATTACTTCAGGAAGCACGGAAGGGAGGGGAAGGAGATGAGATGCGGAGGAGGGAGGGTCTAGCTAGCCTCCGATTTGTTTGAAAATATTCCGAACGTCAACACCCAGGATCGCTTAGACAACCTTTAATCAAGGATTGTAACCCTGCTTCAATATGAGTTATGTTTAAGTTAAAGCACTAAAATTATCAACTGAAAATAAATAAATTAAAGCAGTAGCTCACTTTAAAAAAACTTTTGCTGAAAATTTACTCTTTTGCTGATAACAGGTTTTTGATGAAAACATTCCAGGATTATTCTCCATATAATGGACTTTCATTTGGACCATGAAACATTGGGGTCCATTGAAGTTTCATTGCAGCTTCAATCTAGCGAAACCATCGCTCATTTAAAAAAAATAAATAAAAAAAAGTTAAAGTTTTATAAGCACAAATGCTCGCCTTGCTCTGTTCTGTGATGCGCGTTCGTAGGGCCCTATGATTTCCGTGATCACGGAATCGCGGATGGAATTGGCCAATTAACGCGGAATCTAGTGTTAACGCGCAATTTCGTGGAATTTTACATATTTGGTTTGAAATTCTGTTTTTGTGTGGGAGAAGAACGTATGTCTGGCGTAAATGCAGACCGGGGGAAGCAAATCTGGGCGACACAAACCCGTCATTTCAGCTCAAATGATGAAATTAAAACAATGAAAGCATGTCGAAGCGGCTCTCCACGGCTCTGCTTTAGTCGGCAAAAAGTTAATAAACTCAACGCTATAAGCCGTCAGTGACTTATGCAGTGTTTCCCACACATAGACTAATTCGCCACCACATACTGCATTTAATTTTTTAACACTATTTAAAACACGCAGCGTATTCTTTCAGTTGTATTTCCCCGCTCGCCCTCAGTCTCTCTCTCTCTCTCATCTCTCTCACATACTCACATACACACACACCGCGTATGACTATGAGGCACCGGACTGGACAAAAGCGAAGCGAACTCCGTGAGCGACATTAAAGGGTTAGTTCACCCAAAAATGAAAATAGTCATTAATTACTCACCCCCATACTGTACCAACCCCGTAAGACCTTCGTTCATCTTCGGAACACAAATAAAGATATTTTTGATTAAATCTGAGAGCTGGATCAGTCCTACATAGAATGCCTAAGGGACTGGCTCTTGACGACCCATAAAGTCATTAAAGAAAAGGTTTAAATATTCCATAATAGAATAGTCGAATAAAGTCGTTATTTATGTTTTTTTCGCACAAAAAGTATTCTCGTCGCTTGATAAACTTGAATATTTAAACATTTTCTTTAATGACTTTATAGGGCCATCAAGATCCAGTCCCTTAGGCAGTCTATGTAGGACTGATCCAGCTCTCAGATTCAATCAAAAATATCTTTATTTGTGTTCCGAAGATGAACGAAGGTCTTATGGGGTTGGAACAGCATGGGGGTGAGTAATAAATGACTTAATTTTAATTTTTGGGTGAACTAACCCTTTAAGTGAGAGAGAGACTGTGAATATAAACTAACTTAAATACTTTACCTATATAAATTATTATAATTTATATTACTGGACAGTTTAAAGCTCATAACGATATATTGTTGTTACTTGAAGAGTGCAGTGTTATGTTGCATCATGCAATATTTGTCCTGAAAAGGCTACTGAGTAAATGTCTGTATTACCTCAATAAATTTAAGGTCATTCCGAATTGATTTGTATTTTTTTAATACATTTTAGTCATTAACTTTAAAAGCACACTCTTTTTACGAGTAAAATAACAGTCAAAGGTAAAAAAAAAAACCTAATTCCCAAAAAATTAAAATGGAAAAAACAGAATTTGGGAAAAAATAAAATGGAATTTGGGAAAAAATAAAACGGATTTCATAGGGCCCTACGTTCGTGACTCTCCTGTTCAAACTCGTTCATCAAAATGAATGAATCTTTTTTGAGTCATTTCGTTCATTTTTTTTGTTGAATGAACCAAATGACTCGAAAAAAGATTTGTTCATTTTGATGTCGTTTAAAGCTGCACTGAAACTGTCTTTTTGACCTTGAACCGTGTGGACCCCATTGAAGTCCATTATATGGAGAAAAATCCTGGAATGTTTTCATCAAAAACCTTAAAGGAACACTCCGACTTTTTGGGACTTTAGCCTATTCACCTTACCCCCCAGAGTTAGATAAGTCCAATAGTCCATACATACCTTTTTCATCTCCGTGCGTGCTAGAAGTCTGTTTGACGCACCCACCGCTAGCCTAGCTTAGCACAAAGACTGGATGTGAATGGTTGCAGCTTTCATACTAATCCAAATGAGTGACAAAATAATGCAAACGTTTTCCTATTTACATGTTGTGGTTTGTATAGTCACAGAGTGTGCAAATATCAAGGCCATGTGAGACACCGACATCTTTTAACCGTATAAATACTATATTTTCTGAAGCACTGCTACTTGGGCAGAGTGATAACAATCACCTGAGACGCACCGTGACGAGGAGCAGAGAGTTCGCTTCGCTCAGTGTTGGAATAAAGAGTCAGCAATTACTAACGTTAGATAGAAAAGCATAGTTTATCACGGGTGTTTGCTTTATTGTATGAGCTGTGACAATAAACAGGGGAGACCAGGTAATACAGTACCATGTTTCATTGATTTCCAACCAAAAACGCACCCAGATTTATAAATATCACATGAATAAATAATTATTATTACAGGAATCAATATATTTTAAATGCAATTTATTAGCTGAACCAAATGTATTCAACAGTAGCCTATATAATATACAGTATTGCATTACTATAGGATAGAATAAGGGGAAAGTAATAGCACAAATTGTTTTTGCACAATGAACTCACAGCCTATCGTACCCTTTTGCACGCTCAAGTTCGTTATTTCCATGGTTATTTCAAATTTAGGCTACTAGGCGCGCCGCACGCAGGGTGCAAGTTCAAACGCGGTGAACGCACTCGTTTTTTTTTCCCAAGCGCGTCCGCACCGCATCAAGATAAAAACATATTCATACCCTAATCATATAATAGTGTCACTAACGTTACATTAGATCTGGCTAATGGCACTGTTACAGTAGGTCATCTAAAAACATAACGGAACACTTACCTCAGCCGCAGGTGATCCACTTGTCCTGTCTGTGCTATCGATGGGATGGCCGTATCCTTCAGCACATTATGGTCCGTGTGGCAAATTCCATTTTTTCAAAATAGTCGTCCTCATTGAAATGTACCGAGCAAACATAATGTCCCTTGATAATCTTAGGTGTGTTTGGATAAATATCCAGAGTAAGTTAGCCATTTCTTCATCCAGTCAGCGTTTTTAGTTGGAATTCTGTGAAACATGGTATTACCTCCCCTGTTTACAGTCGCAGCTATTTACAATAGAGCGAAAACCCATGACTCTAAACTACGCTTTTACTACTTATAAATTGCTGACTCTGTTACCCAAACACCGAGCGAACTCTCCGCTCCTCACCACGGCGTGTCTCCGGTGATGCGGTTATTACGCCGTCAAAGTAGCAGTGCTTCGCCTTCAGAGAATAGTTCCCAGGTTTTATACGGTTAAAAGATGTCTGTGTCTCATTTGACTTTGTTATTTGTACATTATGTGACTATACAAATCACAACATGTAAATAGGAAAACGTTTGCGTTATTTTGCCACTCATTTGGATCAGTATGAAAGCTGCAACCAGTCACATCGAGTCTTTGTGCTAAGCTAGGCTAGCGGTGGGTGCGTCAAACAGACTTATAGCACGCACGGAGATGAAAAAGGTATGTATGGACTTATCTAACTCTGGGGGGTAAGGTGAATAGGCTAAAGTCCCAAAAAGTCGGAGTGTTCCTTTAAAGGGTTAGTTCACCCAAAAATGAAAATTCTGTCAGTATTTACTCACCCTCATGTTGTTCCAACCCCGTAAGACCTTCATTCATCTTCAGAACACAAATTAAGATATTTAAGATATTAAGATCGCTCCTGCATACTAGTCCATAAGCTTCTTGAGGGACTGGCTCTTGCTGTCCCCGAAAAGTCATTAAAGACATCGTTAAAATAGTTCAAGTGACTACAGGGGCTCAATCTTAAGTTTATCAAATGACGAGAACACTTTTGTGCGCAAAAAAACAACAAAAATAACGACTTTATTTCAACTATTCACTTCCTTCTCCATGAGCCTGTAGTAAGTTAACGTAGTGTGATTGCGTAAAGCTACGTCACACGTAGGCTCACTATTGGCCGACGCTGGTCATGTGTGTGATGCGTGTGACGTACAATAACAGAAGCGTACGCTATTAAACTA